GCAAAAGCCTCACCAGCGGGTCCTGGCTTACTTCTAGCTCGAGTTAAAAAGCACCCCATGAAGCAGCTCCGCGGCTCTGCTGCGAGCACGTACCCCCCGACCCAAGCACAAGGAAGCGTCCCCGGAAAAGGGCTGGGTCTGGGGAGCAGATTGCCAGGCAGCAGGAGAGCTGCAGAGCCAGCAGGACGGAGCGCAGCGCTGTTCCACTCGGCCGAGGACATCGCAGCACTCCATCAGCCACCAGCCCCCCAGGGGACTATTAGATATTGCTCCTGTTTTGCAGACAAGAGACTGAAGAATAGCAGATAGGGGGGGGGAGAGAAAAAAAAAAAAGAAAAAAAAAAAAAAAGCTGAAAAGCAGCAGCCAGGGCAGGGCAGGTGGGAAAGCTCAGCCCTGCTTTTGAAGCTCTGCGTTTGAAGTCCTTGCAAGGAGGCGAGCCCTGCTGCAAAGCTGAGCCCTTAGCACTTCTCGGGTGGAACAGGAAAAATCCAGAATGGGACCCAGGCACCCTGAGGGTGAGCAATAAACGCTCGTGTGGGAGTGAAAGAAACTGCCCCAGCCCCGTGGTAGCTGGAGGTTTTGTTTTACCATGCCCCTGCCCCAAATCCTGCAGGAAAACGCCACCCTGAGCGAGGCTGGGCAGGGAGATCTCCGTCCCTGCTGCAGGAGGAGCCCCAAACCACCGTTATCTGCACTGATAAGCTGCCGAGGAAGGAGCAGAGCCCAAAAACAAGTGCAGGAAACTCGGGCTTCAATATTCCAGCTCCAGGCAGGGAGAAGACCCCCTGCAGGAACGGGGCGAGGGAGCTGGCTGCAGCACCTCGAGCCGAGCTCCTTCCAGCCTTGGGTGCGGGGAGCGAGGCCCCGGCAAGAGGCAGCAGCAGCAGCAAGGGGCTGCAGGGAGGCAAAGCCCAGCTCCTCGCACGAAGGGGCCTGCTGGTATGCGAGGCAGCGGAGCAGGGGGGCGGGCGTTGCTGCTGCTAATGTGGCAGAGTCTCCCCGCTGAGGGCAGGCAAAATGCCCATGACTCATTTTTCCAAGAGCCGTGGCAAACAATAGGAACGATGCCCCTGGTGGGTATGAATGTGAAAAGGCACGATGGGGGGGCAGCCATGCTGGGCACCTTGTGTGTGGGCTGCCAACGGAGGGTACTGCCACGAACAAAACCTGCTGGAGCCAGTTCTTGGCATTGTGTACGCTGAGAAGCCTCGGACGAGGGCTTCAGGGGGGGGAAAAAAAGGGCAAAACGGCTGCACGGCCACCCCCTCTCCCCAGGCAGCGGCTCTGCTTTTGATGGACACTAGCCCTGGCTTCAGCCAAGAGGAGCCTGGTTTTATTAGCCATGGAGAAAAACAGAGAAAAAGGTCCCAAATTATCCCATCCCCATGCAGAACCGGACCAAAAACAAGCAGGGAACTGAGGCAAGCACCACGGCGCTGCGTGAGGCTGCTCTTCCCCAGCTCCTGCCTCCTCCACACACGTTTTCCATATTCAGATGCTGCCCTAAGGGGACGGCTTCTCGGTCGTTTGAGTCCTTGACCTTCCCCTGTTGTCGGTTTGCTACCATTATTTTTAGGCACACAATCCTCAAAACATACCAGCGCTTGAAAGAAGTTCTCAGATAATGTGCACCGAGCACGAGGTGGCGAGGCTTGGGGGGAAGGAGGCTCTGGGGGATCAAAGCAAAACACAACGGGGGGAAGGTGATTGTCCCCTTGTAGGGAAAACAGCCAGAAATCCCCTCTGAAATCTCTGTTCAGTGGTTTTACAACTTACCAGGCCTGAAAATATGGAAAATGCTGAAGGCAGCACAGGCTCAGCACGTGGCCCATCCGTGATCCTCCTGCCAGCCCAGGCCTGAGCCCACCGCATCCACAAAAAAGCCTCAGATTCACGACCAAAAGTGCAATAAAACCTTTTGGGAGCGGGGAAAAGCACCCAGAAACACCTGCTGGTGCCTCCGTGAGCCCGGGCTTTCCTCAGAGGTGCAGGTTCAAGCAGGTATGGCAATCAGTCCCCCAACCATAGCATCCTACTGAGGAACAGAGGCACTGCGCCCTCTGGAAAGCCGGGACCACTCTGCCTCCCTCCTCGGGGGCTGTTTCACAAGCACGGAGCCGCATCCCACGAAAGGACTGGGCTGGGCCAGGGCGAGGAATTCCCAAGTGCAAGAGGGAAGAAATGCAGCCTTTTTTCCCAGAAGCCCGAAGCCACAAGGCAGAGAAAGCAGACACAAACATTGACTCAAACATTTACGCTGCTGAAGATGCTCACAGCTTTGAGAAAAACCCAAAGCCAGCGCTGAGCAGCCCCACCTGGACCCCAGAGGGCTGGCGTCTGGCTGCCACGGGCAAGGCAACGCTCTCCAACTGGAACACCGCGTGGTGGAGATCTCTGTCACGTACCTTGTGCCATCATTAGTGGAGAAACCGGTCTCGAGCGTTCCCTTTTTGAGAAAGAATTCGCTCGATTTCTCTGAGAGAGAGGTGAGGGGAGAGTGAGGTGGTGTCTACCCCTCTCCCCCAGCCCCTGCCCAGGAGGGAAAGGAATGAGCAGGCTAGGGAAAAGTACAGCTTGCAAAAACAAACACAGCAACAGGCTTGGAGCAGCGGAAAGCCCAGCTGCACGCCTTCACTCTACCTTGCTCCTCCTCAGGCTGAACGGAGCCTTCTGCTCCTCCTCATCCCCCGCAGGAGCAGGGCACCCCGTGCGGCTGCCGCCCGGCTCGGAGCTTTCTGCCAGGTTGTTTGGGAGCCAGCGAAGCCGCCTGGAGGCTGGGGAACGCGGTGTTCCTGCCGAGCTTTGTGCCACTTGGCTGGAGGGGCAGGGAGCTGGCCGAGCCCGCAGCACCCCCTTCTGTCCAAGGCTCCCTCGTGCAGCCAGCTCCGGGCACCGAGATGTTTGTTGGGAGCTCCTCGCTCAGCAAGCTGGAAGAAATCGGGCTGAAAAAAAAGCAATCAGCAAGCATTTCCATGAGTCAGTCCCGTGGTTTTTTTTTTAGGAGGACGGACAAGTGCTTCTCGGGAAGGCAGCCGGGCAAAGCCAGGATTGGTTTCGTGCCCCATCTGGGGGCTGCTGATGCCCAGAAGCTGCTACCACAACGCTCGCTCAGACAATGGGGCTGGATTTCCTCCTGGCCCTCCACACATGCTCGGACTCTCCTGCAGGCTTTCTGCAGTTTTTGTGGCTTCCTGCTGGGGAGCTTCTCATTTATTTTATTTTTTTTTTCTGCAGCTTCCCCAGGCACATAATGACTGCCTATTTTGGGCCCTTATCAGGAGATGCTTCAGAGCTGATTAGCCTGGACTTCCTTCCTCCCATCATCAACCTACTCCAATATTGACGTTGGTTCACACTAATTTGATAATATCAGAGAGCAGAGGAGCTCTAGGAGGCATTACGGAGCCTCGAAGTGCACAATTTGGAGTTGGCAGCAGCGCTGCTGATAAGGAGAAGCTCTTTCTCCTAATGTCCCACTCTCCCCAAAAAGCAGCTGTGCACAAAGCCCCAGAACAGAGCCTTGCAGGCTCCGAGCCAACCTTACTTCATTGTCAGGGGCCCTGGATAAACCGGACCCAAGCACCGTGATGCAACAGCTCCTCTGTTAAATAACCTCTTCCTAACCCTGTACCTGCATGGGATTTTCCATATAAAATTTGAAAGAATAAGTCAGTACCTTGAGGAGAGCCTGCAACTTTAGATAAAGAACCTTGAGGCTGCAATCTGCCTGTAACAGGAGACGCAGGCAGGTAAATTTGACAAGCACTGCATCACGAATACCCTGCAAAACGAGGACGAAATAAAAAGCAGAGGACCTCACAAGATGCTGTTTTGTTCCCTCCGTGCCCACTGCTGTGACACTCAGTGCCTCCCATTCCCAAACGCCACGGGCACGTTACTTCTTTACTACATGGTGGAAGGGCTCAGCAGCTTGAACACAACTTAAGAGTTCCCGATCCCAGCAGCAGGCCGCACAGCTCAGGCTGCTTTAGCCAAATAATTGTGTCACACTGCCCCTCAAAGGGTTCTTACCATGAACGTCTGCTGTGACACTGCTGCTGTATCGCTTCTCGGAACTGCACCAGGTCGGCTCAAGACTCGTATTTCTGTCCTCCCCTTTCAGGAAAGAATTTATCTCCCACCTTGAATTTATTAAATTTCATGATTATGACACACAAATTGAAGTTTTGAAAAACTGAAAGCTGATTAACAGATTTCTAGCACAGCCTGCGCATCAAAATTCATTTCTCTCTGTTCAGGTAATCATAATCTCCGAGTTAGTCAAAATTTGGTTTTCCTTCTTTATTTTTTGTGATCAGAAAAACAAGGAGGGGAGTGGTTGTCCCAAGTAAGCCAGGGAACTTCTCTTTGGTCGATGCACCAAGCAGCTCAGCTCTCTTGGGGAAACTTAAAGAGAACACACAGATCCCCAAATGGATAAAAGAATAAATCAAATGATAAAAACCCAGCCGCCACATCTGATAGCCCAGCTTATTGAGCAGCACGAGGGTTTAATCTGCAGGCTCTGTCCAAAACAGCACGAAGTGACAGATTTAATCCAAGCCAGTTGCCCGCTCTCACTCTCTGATCTGGAGATTTATTTGACAACACGTGTAAATGTGGGGTTACTGCTCCACAGCCCCAAATCCCTCACGGCCCCACTAAGATACTTTTACTGATTGATCCACAATAAACACCCCCAAAACGATTCTCAAGAAGTTAAACCCTCTTTATCTTATTTAGAAAGCATCTGAGGAACCTGTCACTGCAGCAGCAAAGGGCTGCAATTGTATGCAAGATCTCCCACACCCTCATTAGCACCCTGCTAGCTCAAGGACCCTGAAGGAGCCCACCCTGGCCCCACCATGCAGATGTAATGTTCGAAAAAGCACAGATCATTATCAGGAAATTATCAGATCCACAGGAAAAGCCCACACTTCAGTATTTCTCCCCCTTCTCCACTCACAGAAGGCCAGGACTGAAAACGAGCAGATTTCTCTTTTCCATTTACAGTTAATGTGAAAAACGTTTATTTGGGAAATACATCATGTATTGTTTCAAGCTACAAAAAAACTTGCTCCCACACAAAGGAAGGACTTTTTACCTCAGCATGCAACCCCAGTTACAAATAACTTCCTATCAGCCAGCAGGCCACGTTCCCCTGGCACTCAGGCACTCCGCAGCAGGGCGGCCACCTTCGTTGTAACAGAAAGTTCTAGTTGGAAACGCTCTGTAGGAGAGTGATGTTGTCCCCTTTTAACATGATCCGACCTGCAACACACAGAAAGGAAAGAGAGAATTAGGGAGAGTCCAAAATCTGTGAATAACCGCGTGTTTTCAGCAAGTATTTCGTGTGGTTGAGCAGGGTTTTGCCCGTTACACAGAGTCCCTTCCCTGCCGGCTGCCCCACGCTCCCAAGTCGCACCCCAGCCACCGTCCCCGTTCCAGCAGCACGCTGTCCCTGCTGAAAACCCCAGCACTGGGCACACATCGCTGCTTCTGCCCAGCAGCAGGTGGTAAATAAACACCACAGCCACCGTGGCTCCCTGCCTTGACTCAGAGATCACAGCAAGTGTGAGAACAGCCCACGGCCATGGGCTTCAGGTGCAGCTGAACAGGCAGAGACAGATTCTCCTTCATTCAGCAAAACCTCCAGCTCAAAAATCATCAGGGACAGGGATGCAGCCAGAAATTGCTCACTGAACTTCAACATCAAGGCTCGGCACACATTTGGCACCTCTCACTCAGTCAGGTTTCAGAGCGCCCGTCGCTCGGGTTGCACAGACACACGACCTACCCAGCTGTTTCCTTGATTTTGTCTTGGAGTGAATCTCCTCTGCGTCGTCCAGCACCAAATTCATGTATTCATCAAAGCCCTAGGAGTCAGCAACAAGGGAATTAGTTCAGCAACACCACAAACCATCATCATCTTTGCTGATCCTGGCCGGACAACGAAGACTACTTATTAGAGAAGTACAATTCTTTTTTAACTTGTGATAGCTTTTCTTGACCAAAAACCAGGATTGTGAATGAGGGAAAACAAAAGATATAACACGGGGACGTGCGGATACTCACGATGATGCAGCCTTCTATCCGCATGTTCACCTGCTCATAGAGCCACACCTGGATCCTCGACCTCTGCAGAACAAAGGAGGAGAGTAAGTCGGGCCACAAACACTGAGCAGTTTTGTTCTCTCATGTGTTCAGAAATACCTGCTAGCCACAGCCACGACAGCTCCCAAACGCTCCAAGGAGCAACTCCCAGGGGCAGTTTCAATGAGCAATCTGACCTTTTAGCGTTATACCATCGGGTGAATACTACACGTTTGGTGAAGAACACGTTTCCAGTCACAAGGGAACACCCCTGCACGCCCGGCTACACGAGGGGGAAACGCCGGGCTCCTTGTGCCCACCAGCACGCCGCACAGCTCCCCATCCCCCACAGACCCGCCCCGGGACACGGCCAGGAGCCGAACTCACCGAGGGGAATCCCCAGCCCCTCCCCACTCCCCCCACACCCCCCAAATCCCCATCCCCGCCCCCTCCCCGCGGTACTCACGTTCTGCAGGTAGCGGAAGATGAGGTTCTGGGGCGCTGCGTTAAGGGCTCAGCACGGGGACGACAGCTCCGGGCTCGGGACAAGGCCCCAAACCCCACAGCGAGGCCTCAGGGCCCCCGGGACAAGGCCTCAAGGCCCGGGCCGAGCCCCCAGGGCCCCCAGATCCGGGCCCCCTGAGGTCCGAGCCGCCCCCCACCCACCTCCCCGCCCCCCCCCAGCCGCAGGAAGGATACGATGGGCTGCACCATCACCTTCTGCACCTTCTGGCCCTGCCCGCGGTACGCCATGGCTGCCGCCGCCTCGCCGCTCCCGCTCCGCCGCCACCACCGGAAGCCGCTGAGAGCGGGAGGGAGCGCGCGCAAGGGGCGCTGGGATGCTGGAGGACCGCTGAGAGGGGACGCTCTAGGAAGCCGGGAGGACCGCGTCTCTATGGTCGCAGGTTTATTGGAGGTGGGGGGGGCATTAAATAGGTTACAAATATAAAAAAAAAAAAAGGATAAAATATGTAAAATATGTACAGGAGCAATGGCGCACGCGAAAGCCCAGCACCGCAGGCAGAAGAGGCGAAGGCTGATGGTAGAACAGGGCTTGGGGTGAAGGGAAAGCGAGGGCAGCTGGGCGCAGTCTCTGATTTTGGTTTTTCTCCCCCATTTCTGAGCCGGCAGAAGTCCCCGTGAAGTCCTTCGGCACGATGAAGGCCTGCGTGAGCTCCAGCAGCAGTTTCGTCAGCGGAGGTTTTCCCTGGTGGGGCCGGGAAGTCACAGCACACACACACACACACAGAGCCGCGTGGTTTTGTCCAAACATGAAGTATTTACAACAAATTCAACAAGCGTTTTTCCTCTGCCAGCAGCAAATGCCTGAGGGCCCCCACAGCTTCACAAATCATAGCGGGAAGAGCCTACCGTGCCGCGAAAAGTTCGGAAAATAATTCAAAATTGATCTGCTAGGGAAAAAAAAAAAAACAACAAAAAAACGATGGCTGGTGGCAGGGTACACAATACACCCGAATTTCAGCTCTGTCCTCCGCAGGGTCAGTGCCCACGCCCAAGCGCGATGCTGATGGCACCCGAACATTTGCTGTAGCAGGCAGCAGAGCCAGCAGCTCAGGGGAGCAATTTTGAAAACCAAGAGGCACTTAAACAACCCTTCATCGACCCCGTGACTGCGGCAGAGTCCCGACTGCTCGCCCCGGATTCCTCACACCAACAAAAAGCACCAACCAAAGCCTGGGGGAACTTTGGTACAGCACAAGAGAAGGGAGTGGGGGTAGTGGAGCCGCATGGCAGAGCTGCTGCTTTTCACCATTTGATCATCCCTGATAATTGAAAGTAAGGCTGGGTGGGCTGACCCCCACCCCCACTCCTGGCAGCAAGTTTGGTCCACAACACACTGGAATAACGATTCTGCTCCCTCCCACCCCTACAGCTTCATCATCTGACACGGGTACAGTCAAAACAATGGCATACACAAGTAAAAGTCAAGAGTTGACATAGTAACTCCAGGATTTGGGTATCAACTGTCCGAGAAATCAGAACACCGAAGCTTCACAATGTGCCCAACATCGAGTTGTGCCAAGGGGGGAGGAAGGAAGAAGCTTTACGTTTAAGCCTTCAGAGCATCGCTCCATCAGAAGATCGATTTGCAGCCACCGTGGCGTGCCAATGGAGATCTTTCTGTGCCAAAAGAAGTGCTTTGTCCTCTTGATATCAAAGGTAGCCACCTATAGTTACAGAACGGATGCACAAGACCTTAACTCTGACCAGCAGGGAAATTTAGGACAACTGAGTGCAGATCCTGCCAATTTCTACCAGTTCGGACTGTGCTTTAAGTCTCATTGCAAAGCTTCAGTTAGAAAAAGGATCACCTCGGGGTATCCAACAAGAAGAACAGTTTTAATTTTTTTTTTTTAAATATACCATAGGACTACGCAGTTCAACTGTCAATCATCTCAGAGAGTTCAAGGAGGAGGTCATCCTCGTCCTTCCCTGGGTCTAAGTCAATTTCTGCTTCCAGTCTGCCTCCTGAGATTTCCCAAAGTAATTTCTCAAAATCTTCATCCGCAGATAAGGGCGCGTTCCCCGTGGAACTCAGCCGGCGTGTCCGTGCCTCTTCTAGCTGGGAAGAAGCTGAGGTCGAGGTCTCGAGATTGGTCTCCATCTGCTCCTCCAATCTTGCTGGGCTTCCAAGACGCACTTCAGGTCTTGGGAGAGCAAGAAAGAACAATCAGGATATGCCATTTCTTAACGGGAAATCCCTTTTCTGCAAACCGTCTCTTAAAACCGTAGGCAAGCCCTCCTACGCTTCAATCTTACACAGGGATTGTTATCAATCAACCCAGGGCTACATTTAGAGCCCGATGTGTTACCAGCTACATTTTTCAGTCTGGGGGTTTATCTGTGAAGCCAGGGCACCTGGAGTTGAGGTGGCATTCTTGAGGACCAAAAGGCAGAGGACACTACTCCTCATCTATCACCTCAAGAGGAAGTAGAACTTCACCTCATCCTCGTTCAGGTATTCAGACAACCCAAGAAGTCACTGGAAAGCTGTGCTGACTTGCAGCATTTAAAGAAAGCCTAATTAAGCAATCCTGCTAGCTGCTAGAAAGTGGTTTCAGGTGACTTATTCCTTTGATGGATTTTGGCTTTAATTATCTCAGAACCCTCCTTTTTTCCCACATGTGACAGAACTTATGTTTCCCTGGGGATATACACTGATTAAGAAAAAGAACAAGTTGGGGTTGTCACCTGTTTTGGGGATTTTCTTCAAGTCTGATGGCTGGGACGTGCTCCGGCATGTCTGAAACACCCTAGAAAGCAGCAAAACAGTATTTATGACACATGGGTAAAAGATTCCTTAATAGCTTTTTCCTCCACACTGCTTCTCCTCTGGCATTGCGGAGCCGTGGCCAAAATACAAAACCAAGGTGCTCCTGAAGAAAGTTCACATTCACCTGGAGGTTACTCATGATCTTGTGTCTTTTAAGAACATGGCATTAACGGACAAAATCCCCCACACCAGAGAAATCACAGCATCAGAGTACTGGTTAAAGAGTGCCATTCATCTCATAAATACAGAAGGGTTCTACAAGCATCCTGTAGACAGCTACTGGATTTAAAAGGAAACAGAAGGCCTGCAGAACATTTGAGTTTTCCACCTTTTCTCCTAGAGGAGGGTAGAAATTTAACAAGGGATCCATCTCTGCATTAGCCCCTGGCCTTACCATGGCTACTTTTTTGGCTGGAGGTCCCATCGTCTCAGCATCCAAGGCAGTCCGGAGTTCCACAGCTGCTACGGCAGAGGGATAACTCTCAGGTGCCTTACGTTTCAGTGCCTTCTTCTTGGGGAAAGTGACTTTCCCACCCGAAGGCTTCGCAGATGTCATAACGTTGGCTAGAGTAAAAGGAAGAGAGAACTGATACAGTCTTGCTCTGCCTCAGGAAAAATGCAGGTTCTCTTAATCATTTCCACAGTCCTTCTACACAGTTAAATGCATTTGGCCAGCAGAATTACACCGCCATTGCCTGGATTCTCAGGAATGTTTTCCGCATAGTAAACTCTGTCTACCAACAATCCATACAAAGGAACAAAGAAATCCAATAGCTACAGTAAATAATAATCCAGGACAAGGGAAACCTCAGACACATAGCAATCCTAAGTGCAAGCTAGGTTCACAAATATAGACAGCTTTTATATTTCAAGTCCTGCTCCCTCTAGGAAAGGAAAAAGCCGCAGTTATAGTAGGACAAGAGTGTATGCAACTGTTGTACCAGCTTCCTCTCCCTTGCAGTGATGTCCCACAGTTAAGTTGTTCTACAAAGTCCAAGTTTGTAGTGTCATTTTCTAGTCTCCCGTTCCTTACCTAACATCTGGCTGGCAGGAAAAGAAACAAACTAAGAAAAAGAAAGTACACACTTCGCTTCGTAGCATTGCGTGGCAAAATGCACCCAGCCAGAGTTACAGCATGAGAATTGTCATCTTCTGTCTGTATTTCAGAAGACAACCTAAGGAACTCTTAACCTTCAACACTTACTTTTAGCTTCCTGACCCTGAAATTGAGCTGCCACTTTCCCTGCTGGTTCAGTATTAAAGCCAGCAGTAGATTTGACAGCAGCTTCCTCCTTCTGAAGCTTCCCTTGTTGTTCTTTCTGTTGCCGCTTCTCCCACCGTCTCTCTTCAATGCTCTTCTCTGGACGTTTACGAGTTCCACTCTGCTGAGTGGGCTAGAAGGAAAGAAAAGTAGTGCATGAATAGGACAAAAAAAAATAAAAATCCATGGATATTTCGTTAAGAAAATCTGATCAGCAATCCCTCCAAAATGGTCTTGATGTGGAACAGCATATTAATATCGTTCAGGTTACTGTTTTTTTTTCCCCATAAAATTCTGCCTGTAACAAGAGCCATGCTTCACTATGGACACAGTCTCACATATCTGCAATATCCACTATGGCAAGCTTCTTTAAACAGCTAGGGTGTTCTGCTGTACATCTATTTATCACATTCTTTTTAAGCAGCAGAAAGTCATATAAGTTCCCCTATACAGTATCCACTGACAGATTGATTTCCTTGAACACAGAACTCTGGCCTTCTGTATTAAATCCCTCGTGTCTGACAGATCAAGTCAGTAAGAACAAAAAGAATTCCCTCCACGTTAACTGTGTAGATTTCAGCTGGTGCTAACAGGGTTTCTTTGTTGCTGTGGTATAAACAGACTGATTCCAAGTTTGAGGATTACAGAGTTGTCTGGAAATGCTGCTGGCGATAGGATTTAGACTGCACTGCAGCTCCTACCAGGTGCTGAAGGGTAAGAACACACTCAAGAGGGGGGCACACGATGAGTAACAAAACTTGTCAGAATTATCAGAAATTGTACGAACGTATGTGTGTCTTCACAGAGGACTCACCTGTACATCAGGTACAGAGGAAAGTTTAGGAAAAGGCCGGTTCAATTCCACTGCCTTCTTTTCTTCTTTTTCAGGTGCTTTAAGAAAAGACAAAAAAAAAAGTTTTGTCAACAGCAGAAATAAAGAAAGCTGGGTACTTGTTTCCTTTGTGCATTTATTTCCTTGTGTCCCATGAGAGAGAGAGAAAGGCTACAATGTGCAATCCATTCAGCATTTATCCATGAAGCAGATCCTGAACAAACTGAACTTGCTCAATATGGGAAGCACCTCACTGGGGCAGGCATTAAAGCATCTTATTACCTGTTAGTTTTGTGCTCCATAAAGATTTCTGTTCTGCTGGGGCAGGTCCGGGTTGTGCTGAGGGAGCTGACACATTTCCTTCACTCTGCTGCATCCGCAGAGCTTTCTCACGCTTTATTTCTTCCAAGGTTTTAACATGCACTTCTCCTGGCTTGACTTTTCCTGCCGGCTCCTTCGCCTGCCCTTTGCTGGGCCCGGACAGAGCGAGCTGCTTCTTGGACTCACCCTGAATTTTGCTCTTGGTATGGGATTCTCCTGCTTTTTTCTTCTCTTCTACCAAGCGATTATTCTTTTTTTCAGACAAGGCTTCAGAGAAAGTTTTGATGCGACCTACACGAGCAGGTCTTGCCCCTGCGCTGGAATCTTCGGTTTTACCATGCCCTTCAGCCTCGCCTTTGGCTTGAGTTTCGTGTCTCTGAAGAGCTTTCTCACGACGGATTTCCTCCAGTGTTTTCACACGGATCTCTCCCATCAGCTTAGCATCCTTCCCTGTCATCATCAAGAAATGAGGAGAAGCACCAACATTTAAAGAGAGTCCAGCAATATTTTAAGTCTCCAAAATTTTTCAGAGCACTAAGGAAAACTAATCTTGAGTGTTCCCAATAATGCATCTTAGAACAATATGCTTAGAACAACATTCTCCTCCTCCTCTGAGCCACTTGTATTTTGAAGACCAGCCATATCCAGAGAGAACTGCTACACAGAAATGCTGCTTTACTTTTTCAGACTGCATTTCAAATTCGTGCTCCTGGCAGTGGTTCTATTCTAATGGTACGTAACGGTTCACAGAAGCAGCTAAAAACCTTGACGAGGCACAAGTAGAAAATAAACACACACCTAGAGCCAGATTTCTGATAGTGGCTGTCAGAAGAGCTTCAGCACTCAAGCAAGAGGCATCAGTTCTTTGTTTTCATTTAAATTAGTTTTTAGGGATGGATGAAAGCAGTCCAAGTTCATGGAAAGGAAGGAGGAGAAAGCATATTTAATATCTAGCTGTTACCTCTCTCAGTACTGGTCTGTTTAGGAGGTAATCCCAGCCTGTCCTTCAGAGACTTGGCAACTTGAACTGCAAAACAGAAACAGAACGAATTAGGGAGGCTGCAGAATGTCAACTTCAGGTTCACATTTCAAAACAAGACAGGAAAGGTAACTTTGAATCCCAGTGATTACGACCTCAGCCAACATGCAAAAAAGAAACATCACAGGAAAAGGACAAACAGAAAGACTAAATACAAAACCTAGGAATCCAATCCAGATGCCCGTTTAGTACCTGTATCGCTCTTGGGTGCTTTGTCAGCATTTTCCGGAGCCTCTACCTTCTTCCCCAGCCTTTCAGCAAGGCTGCGCTTCACTGGAACGGTGCTTACATCATCTTCAAAGAAAACAAGGAATATTGTAAGAACTTTTCTTTGCAGGAAGGCTTTGAGAACAGTCAACAATAAGCTTCTATTTTTCAAGCATATTTTCACTAGAATTGCCTTTCAGCTGCTAAATGATTTTTTTTGCCATTTCTGCAGTCAACACAGATCTCCACTGCAATGTATTTTCCTTTCATACCTCAAAAATACTCTTTAATGCAGTCATATATAGAAGGCAGCACCTACGTAACAGCTCATAAAAAGTTCTTACCCGCGGAGGCTTTCCGTTTTCCTTGTCTATCAGCAAGATCTAGTCGAACCACAGGTTCCTCCCCTAAAACAAAAGGGAATTTTTTTTCCTATTTCACAGAAACCAGTAGCCAACAGAAATATTATCCTGTTAGCCCATCTCCAACCATGTCAGACACTGTTTTGACAGCTAAACCACATAAACTCATATTTTAACTATAATTAACATAGAAAAAAAATATTAATAGTCTCAGTGCTTGCTTCAAATTCCAGCTGAGATAGTAGAGAGTGAATCTGAGTCTGCTTGACAGCTATACTTTGTGCAGAACAAAGCTGCATAAGCAAGCAGAATATTATTAGGTACAAATGCTGACAAATAGTCCTTTCGAAGGTGAATGTCTACGAGTAAAAGTACTTCCACACTTTTTTCCCTTTCAAAGGCATTTGCACAGCTCTAAACAATTTATACACAAACTCCTGTCATACTGTGTCCACACCTGCCACTGTCAGCCTCTTTAATGCTTCAGAAATTGCTTCTTATATAGCACTGTCTTCTACAGCTCTTTCTTCTCCTTACTCTTCTGTTTTTCAGTTACCCCCCTATTTGCATACTGACACTTTTTTTTTCTCCTGCCACTGCACTTAACCTGAGCACCAAATCTTTCCAGTACAACCAGGGACTTGAAGCATAAAAGCACGTTTTGAACAGAAGGCAGCACCAGAAGGCTAACATGGGTGAATTGTTTTAATTATTGCTTAACCCTCCAGTTTAGGAGTAATGAAATCAAAACAAAAGCATTCATTATTACCTTTCTTGGAAGACAGTGTCACAGTTCTCACCACTGTCCGGACATTTTCCTTTTCTGGAGCAGGAAAAATCATAGAATCAACGGGAGGAAGAGAAGATCTTGAAGAACCTTCTGTTCAGAGCAACCAAAACATAAGGAAGTTTACCCAACATAAAAAACTATCACAAAGAACAAAAAACTTTAAATTATTTATTACTGTCAAAAATACAGCAAGCAGAGCATGTAAATAAGTGAGGTGACTAATTTGCCTCTGGTTGCCCTTTGAACTCCCATTTAGAATACCAGCTGGCTGAGAATCAGGTTGCTTGATGCCCCCAGCTAAAAATGGAAGTCTGTCCCTCAAGCAGCTCCCAGTCACCATCACCTGCCGTGAACAGGATAAGAAAGTAGGGAATATTAACTCACCACCAGTGTCTCTTATTTTTTTCCTTCATCTTCTGCGATTTGATTTCCTCAAGTGTTTTTATTCCAAAATTCAGATTGCCCTCTGAAAACAGGAAACAGTTCATGAGACAGGCTTAGAGGCACTCACTGAGGACCACAGGTCCTCAGGCTTCTTAGCGCTCAGGAACTTTCTGAAGTATTTAGAATAAAGCCTGTCAACACTCCTCACAAGTGAAAGAGCCAGAGAACCAATGGCATTTTGCCCCTCCTTTCATCCTTCAGGCTTAAAAATGTAGTTTTAATTTTAATCCATTTACACGATATTAGATCCCTCTATCGTTAGATACGGCTTATCAACAGTGGTTGCAAGGCTGCACGTGCAGCCATTTAAACTCCATGCCGTGGCCCTGTTTTGTTCTCCAAAAGTAAAGAAAAGGAGTTCACCTTTCTGACCCAATGGGCACATGATGGTATTAATGGCAGAAATGAGATCATGGAAATAACCGAGTCCATTCAGCACCCCTACATTTTGTTGTGTTTTTACACCACACTGCTTTTGAGTTAACTGTCAAGTTCTTCTGATTTATCCTACTAAGGTGCTGGAATACCTTGTTTAGTAGTAGGAGAACTGCCTTTCCGAGTGGAAATCACCCGTAATCCATTTTTGCCTTCCGCAGCTGGTTGCTGGACGGGAGTTTTAGTTTCTTCTCCTTCCTCAGAAAGTTGGTCTGAAAGGGAAAAATCTATTCAGTTATGCATAGACCAGATTGTTCATGATTACGTAGCTCATGCAGTGACACTTCAGCCCATGGTTCATATAAAAAAAACTTTGTTGCTGTTTTTTTTTTTTTGTTTTTGTTTTTTTAAACAGCTACACTGACCTGATGAACTCCTAAGAAGAATACACTAGGACAAAACACCTAGGACTCTAGATTCTCTCTGCAGCTTTAACTACTACACAACACATTGCTCTTCAGACAGAAAAAAGGAATTTCCTTCCTAGTTTCACATAGAACTTTACACAACAGACCAGCTAAAGCCAGGAGTGGTTCTAAGCTTTCCTCCAACGTTTCAAGTTCTGTCCACTGACTGCCAGACAAAGCCACCAGTGACCTGACCAGACTGCCTGCCCTATCGCTAGTCAGACCTCAGGTCATCTGTGATTTATACGTTCATTTACAGCACAGATTCCTTCAAGAACCAAAGATTTAACACATTCATTTACAGCACAAATTCCTTCAAGTACCAAAGATTTACACAATCATTTACAGCACAAATTCCTTCCAAGAACCAAAACATGCTCACCATCATCATCTTCATCATCATCTGCAGCATTGATTACAACTGGAGGGTGCGTAGGGCTTGGGACATTTTCAGAGTTTTCCACTTTCATCACCCCCCTTAGCTGTGGAGAGGGATTTGACTGGACAGAAAGTTTGTTTTGCTGCAGTGACATCTGAGCCACTTTCAAATCATCGTCCGTGGACTCAGGCGGACTTGGCAGTGTAGCTAGAGGAAGAGGAGGATCATCGGTAATATGGCAGTTTAAAACTTTGACCACAATGCAAAGAGATGGTAGGAAAGGCAGATAACCCGCACAGACAACGAATTCAGCATCTCCTTTTGCCCATCCCATCACTGTTTACACTGTGAACAATGACTTCCCTTCGAACAACAACACATCTCCCTACCACCCAGCAAAAGACGAAACAACAGGAAGCAAACTGCAAGGCAAACATCACACAAAGCAAAGAGAAGCTGAGCACGAAAGCAGAAAACAAACACCAGCAGTACACTCGGTTACAGTACACCTATGACTGCAGACCTTTTCCTGCACTCACAAATGAACAGTTACCTGATGCCCCCTACAGGATTGGCACCCACTAAGTAATACTCAAATTAATTCTTCAGCGCTTCAAGAAAAAGGACCTAAACTCACTCTTGCTTGGTGGGAAGAATTGTCCATCGATGTCACGTCCCTTTGCATGATGAAAAGCACAGTTGGCTTTCTGACAGCCTCCCGGCTGCTTCTCCCAGTAGCAAGGAATCTCACTGCGCTTTTTCTGAAGACAGAAAGAAAGAAAAGCTCGTGATAACATGCACCTGAGGCTTGCAAAGAGATGCGCAGCTCCAGATCATGACAGCTGTCACAACACAGTGCTGAAACATCATTCCAAAGGTCAGTTTCTCAGTTAAGTGGAGTATTTCTGGGCATATTCACAAAGTTTGCATAAGCTGGCAACCACTATGCACATTTAGATTTGTCATCATTCAGTTTGAGAAGACAGGCACTCTCAGACATCAGTTGAGGGTGGCTTAAACTAATACACCTAGGATTATACTAGCATTATTCAGAGGGAAAAAGAACATCTGAAATTGCCTAGGTTAACCCTGTCTAGAACTACTTCTTGGGACACTTAGTTCTTCTGCACCTTTAACTTTCCCCACTTCCTACCCCAGGCAGCTAGAACAGCGTTATCGGAAGGATTTTATTTCCCTCTGCTTCCTCCCACCCCCTCTCTTGGTAACAGAAACCAGTATGATTTTGAAGCAAACGAATCTATCCTGCACAAGCACAATCAGTACACCTACGGCACTGAAAAATGCTTTTGTTGATTTAGTTTGAGAACACATCGTTAGGCACTCACGTCAATTTCCATGTGTCTGAATCGGCAGACGTTCCTGAGACAACGACCCTCCTGCCACAGCTTGCAGACCGTCTCATTGCCCAGAGCAGCTTCGCAGTGGCGGTAGGCACATTTGTCTCCCTGGAACCAAAAGGAAACCAACGAGGAAAATAGAGTACAGCCTCAAAAATGGCCATGCTGCTGCCTAAGGTTGCTACAACTGAATTCAGAATCTATCTGGTTCTCAAGTTAACCAAAGACCAGTGTGCTTCCTCCTCCTAATCTACTCCTTCCTGAAAAAAATGGGGAAAAAAAAGCAAAGCAAAGGAAAGCCAGCCATACCTTGGTACAGGTAGAATAGAAATAGAAGTAGCAATCCTCTCCTTGTTTAGACATGCCGACGAGTTCTGCTAACAAGCTCGGCTTCTCTCCACAGGGACTTCCTCTGCTCTTGGAGAGAGCTGTCTTCACCCTTGCTTGGGCTGAAAGTCTTCTACTGGCTTGTGAGCAGGGAAATCTTCTTTTGAAAAGTAACCCTAAAGAAAGTAACAAGTGAAAAATAATGAGGAACCAACAGTTTTCCAGCTTTCTTCAGTCATCAAATCAAGTTATCAGTCTCTCGAAGGAGAGCAAAGCCTTGAAATCAGCTGTTACATGAACTAACTAAATATGAAAGTTCCCTAAAGCTGCCAGGAGCTTTGTCAGCAAGCGTTCTCTTCCACATCCTCAATAAGATGACTTGGAGCACATCTGGAAGCCTGAAAACGGAGTCACTCCTTAAAAAACCACCTGATGATACCTGCAAGTCAATAATCAACTCTGGCTACAAATAACTTCTCTAGAACACAGTTAGGACGCATTAAACAGCACGTTGCAGGCACTGTGGGTCTTCCATTTCACCTACCTGGACAACCTCAGCAAAGTTATCGATCTTCAAAGACTTCCAGTTAACTTCTCCTGGAGGCCGAACCAAGACTGAATCCGTGAATTAATAATAAACGGGTAGGAAGAATTTTCCTCCTCACTTTGCCAAGGGAACCTCTCATCCACAATTCAAACATAGCATGCGCTTTTAAACAGCTTATAACTAATAGAGGAAGCAAGTCCATTTGAATGCTCTCTCAGACTGGAGACAGCCAGGGTTAGTTAGCTCTTCAAAACAATATAAACCAAAAAACAAAACAAAACAAAAACAAAAAACCCAGCGCATTTAGAGATGAACTCGTGATTCAAAGTGGCTGCAAAATGAGGCTCCATCTTCCGCAGCCGGACAATCTAACTTTTTTTTTTTTTTAATTTAAAATTCAGTATGTTCCAATCTCTGGTCTTCAAGATTTCTTCACCTATTAAGAAAACACAAAAACCTTTCCCCGTCTTTATTACCTGTACAGCAAAAAACATACCAGTGCATATAAATCCACAGATGTGCATACGCATACACACATCTGTGTTTATACACACACGAGGAGGGAGTGAGAGAAAGTTAGCGAGAGCGACAGTGAAAATCAGAATTTTTGCCTTTTCGACACAGAGAGCGCGTAAAAATTCTCTCCTTTTGAGGGAACTAGAAAAAAATGGAGGCTCTACAAAAGATTTTGATGAGTATGCCTTCGAGGCCGATGCTTTGTAACATGAGTGATCTGGGGGCCAGCACACAAATATGCATACGTATGTACATGCATACAGGATAAACAGATCTATACACACAAGCGTGCACAGTGTATGTTGTATGATCTCCATAGCGAGAACAACTCGTAGCCCTGATCAGACACGTAGAGTTGCAATCAATTAAGAGCAGGAAGACAGCAGATCAAGGGTACAGCAAGCTTTGAGAGGCAGGGGAATGCTCACTTTGCCAGTGGCATGGCTGCATGATACCAAGGATTTTGAATTAGTTGGATTTTTTGGAAGCAATTGGGTTTTTCTTTCTGCGCTGTAGCAAATACCACAGGTTTGCCATCACGTGCTGTTCCCTAATCCATATCTCCATCCTCATCCATTGCTGCAGGATCATGAAAGGTTAGAGAAGACGACTTAGGTCTCAATTTAACAGCCAATGATTTTTCGATGAGCAGAGCTGCAACAGATTTTATTTAGCCACAAGCATTTTGTTTTTCTTTTTTCTGAGATGAAGTCAGAAATTTTGATTATTTTTTTTTTTTTAAAGACACTAAATGTCACAAAACCTGCAACCAGACCAGATAAAGTTCAAATTAGAGTGATTCTGAATCCTTTCATGAAAACGCTGCACATTTCTGTGCAAATTATTTCTGACTCTTCTGGACAAAAGTGGATGAAATAGTTCTTACAAATTAATAATCAAAGGTTGGAACCTTTTACTCACACAAACACTAGTGAATTTTCCAGGAAATATTTTTTTGGCAGGGAATTTTCCCAAATCTAAAATAAAGAGAGGAAAAGTTGGCTTCTCATATTAGTTACTGCTTTTGACTGCTGGACAAAGGGAATAAAAACAGTAGTTAAGTGCAAGCTTTCCTTCTCTTCTTTACTATGGATAGGAATCGTCACTTCGCACCTTTAGCACCTTCAGAAACACACCCAGTGCCATGCAGGTTCCTCTGCATCTACTTCTAACAATTACTGGTGCTCCTTAGCATGGAAGTTTGACTCAAAACACTCTCCAGATTTAGCTCTTTTGACTGCCCAAGGAGCTCATCATTTTGCTTGTTGCCTTCCAGTTTCCTGAACAGACCGGGAACGCTGTTCAGAATCTGAATGGATCTGGTCTAAGGAATGGGAAGAAAGCAAAACCAAGCATACCTCGCAGCCCTAAATTCCAAAAAGCAGTCTCATTTTAAAAAGGACCTCAAAAGCTTTTTTTTTTTTTTTTAAACTGACATCTGCTAACACGGCAATCCAGGCGCTAAACCAACTGAAGTTGCCCCTGAAAGCCTGAATAAAAATGAGTAACTCTGGTGCACTCAGCAGGTCTGTAATAGAAGTTGGTAAGATTTTTAGATTTCTTTTTTTTTTTTTGCTCCAGGGTGCCTGGTAAACTTTTGCATTACGAGATTTTGAACCTTTTGTACCAAAGAATTAGAGATGCGCTACAGTGCCAGTAGCTGGGGGTCTGGAAATACACACCAACAAGTGTCATAAGCTTTGCCTTTGCTGAAGGAAGATAAATAGTACCAAGAAAATCTGTCTAGTTTGTTTTACAGGCTTGTCTTTCTCAGTATGGAACAAACGGACCTCCCTGGTCTAACTTTGCAGTTGCCTATTCTGCCTTTGTCCTGGAGAGAAGAGCAAGAAAGGAACAAATCTATTTTTGCACTCCAAAAACGCATTAGAGGAGGATTATCACACCCACCTAAGGGTACTTCCTTGTTTGTTTATAAAGCACCAAGTATTTCTCTTGGACAGTCTCTGTTGCTGGTCTGTTTTGTGCCTTCCATTTACAGTAAAGATACTAAGATGCTTACCCCTTGTTTTTTGTTGTTTTTTTTTGTTTTTTTTTTTTTTCTAAAGAACAGTGGAAGTGGAGAGTCGGATGACAAGCAAGAACAAACACTAGAAACTCCTTGTTCTGCCCCTGCTTTTTAATCACCCAGCATCACCCCGGCTGCAAAACAGCCTCTGCTGATTTACCTGCTTGTTAAAGCACCCCACAGGCTGCAAGTGCGGTGTGCTAGGTGTCAAGTTCTATTTACGCGTGCACAGGGAACCATTCATCTTCCCACAGTCGAAGCACAGAACAGCCTCTTGCTAACAGAACTCATCCCTGCTGCTGCAAGAAACCTCATGGCCTGCAGGAAAACCTCAAGCTAAGAGTTCCAAAGCAAAAGCAGAAAACGCATGATTTGTACTCTTTATATTGGAGTGAATTCTAGCTGCTAAACGCTGCCTACATCTGAGGGCACGTGCTGAGGCTGGGGGGAAGGACACTCAACACCCACTGACAGCAGGAGTGCAAAGATGCCAGCCAAGAAGGCAAAGGTTAGAGCTGAACGCTGCCTCAGCTTCCTCCAGCAGCCAGCTGGGGGTCACCTTTCAGCACGCTCTCTGAGACTCTGAGCCCCGAGTTACCGCAGCCGCCAGCTACAGCTGCTCCTTGCTGGCCCAAACTATTGGAAGAGTCTTCAAACTTCAGGGACCTGTTTTATGACAGCCTCAAGATCCAATTAATCTGTTCCTGAAGGCGCTGATCGTCCTGGTGTTTCTGGAGCTGTCCAAGAACAATCCTGAACTGAGGCACTCGTCTGATCAGACAGTGCTTCGGCACAGATTTCTCTTTAGCTTGACACATCAAGGTGAAGAGGAATCGATTCTTGCAAGCACCCTCTCAAGCAGGGATCTAATAAGGTGACCAGAACGACAGATCTGTTGTGCAGATCTGAGCACGTCACTCTGCAGGGAATCACTTTCAAGCCTAAGATGTTTCACCCATCTCCCTGCCCCAGAGCGACACAAGTAAAGCTCTTAAGCAATTGCTAACCTGTTCTCAGTGCTCACGAGTCCCAAATCACTCATTTTACAATCTATAAACCATGGCAGCTGGCACCTAGCTGGCACACGGTGACACTGCACACGTTGGCAGTGTCGTCAGGAGCTGCAAAGTCAGGGCTGAGGGGGTTAAGGGAAAACCACACATCAGTTTAGCAACTTGGCTCCCGTAGGATACTTCCTACGGCGGGAGTTTTAGCAAAGCCACTCAGAGGGACCTGCTGGCTAATTAAAGCGGGACTTCTGCTGGAGCAGTCAGAAGGCAGCAGGGTGTCAGGAGATATCCAGTGGGCATCACTGTCAGTCTGTGGCAGTTTGGGGTCCAGGTATCAGTGGTTTTCTCTGCTTCACTTTCTCCAAAGCTGTGAAAAAATATTTCTTTTACAGCACTCTACAGTCCCACGTTACGGATGGAACCAGCTGCATCAACTTCCAGTACGACGGTGTTGGAAAAAGGTGCCTTTGGTGGTCAGGAGCACAACAGCTCTGCTGATGTGTTATTTAAGTGTGTTCTTACATCTGAGTTTCCTCATAGCAGTATGTAGCTGAGGGGGTCCAAGTTTCCCAGGTAAGATTTTTGTTTTTCCTCCTACCAGCTCAGTATACAAAGCTCTGTTAATAACATCCAAGCATGTAGATGTTAAACTGAAACGGCTTTTAAACCTAGTTTTTGTGACGAAAAGAGCTTAATACACCATCTTCACAGGGTAAAAATTCACATGGAAGTACAGAAAAACCCAGAAGCGCTTCCTGAGCTTCAGTTTACCAACAGCACCATCGGATTTAGATCCTGGCCTGGCAGCCAGGATGCAGGGTCTGTAAGCATTGCTGCCACGTGGAAGTGCCAAGGCAGGTTTCTGGCCTGCCCTGACTAAAATACCTTTTTTTTTTTTTTTTTTAATACAAACAGCGTGCCAGGTACGCTGTAATGCCAATGTGCCAGGTCAATAGAGGATGTCAAACAACAGAGGCGTTTATCCTATTTCTGGCATTAAAACACTTTTAACAGCATTCTTTTCACCAAGAAACCCCTCTCTATCTTCTCCAATGCTCCAGGATCTGCTGCAGCTGCAGCAGCCGCGCTGCTACAACCCACATCTTCGCCAAATCTTTTCAATAATTGTGCTTTACCTCGGCAATGTTGAGGTCACTCCTCTTCCTCCTCCAGCTGAGGAAGCAGCTCGCTGGCTCTGCCACACCACAGGTGCGGAAGCGAAAGCTGGGAACACAGGAGTCAAACTCTCAGTGCTCACGAAGCCACCAGGGCAGAGGGCTGACACAGAGGCACCCCGCATCCGCTCTCCCTCCCCGCTGCGAGGCTCGCAGCAGCCCCGACCCGAAGCGCACACAATGCTTCGCATGGTGATGTCACCGCTGATTCTGAGGCCCCAGGTGAGGATCTGCCTCACCACTCTCAACGTTGGTGTTGGGTTTTGGTTTTTGTTTTTTTTTCTTCTTTTAAACATTCACAGCTTATGGGAAACCATCAGGTA